TCTCTCTCTCCCTCTCTTCTTCGTGGCCGTCACTGGGCCCCAGAAACAGGAGCGTGTGGTTCATTTACAGGTAGCGGCTGTTTCCTCATTCATTGGCTGGCTATGGATGTGAGGAGAGGACAATGGAGAGAGGGGAGAGGTAGATGATGCTATTGAGAGGCCGTGCCTTTTCAAAGACAGACTAATAAGCTATGTATTCTGTGTGTGTGCGTGTGTGCGTGTGTGTCTTTGAGTGTGTGCGAATGCGTGCGCGTGTCTTAAATTCGTATTTTCCCTAATGCATGTGCAAATCTCTGGGACGGAAGTAGCTATTGAATGGAGACTCTGCAGCATGTTTATTTCTGTGTCTTCCTCTCCGTGTGTCTTTGAACGCCGTGTGTGTGTGTGTGTGTTAGTGCATGAAAGAGAGCACATATTGATGCATTTCAGTCAGACAGTGTGGGTGTATTTCATTCTCTTTGAGTCATGATTTCTTTAAGCAGATATTTTTAATTCACCAGGACTTCCCATTTATCCCTGTTCCTTGAGAAAAAAATGCTATTGTCACAGCCCGTATTTTTTTCATGTATCTCACTGTATCATTAAAAATGTGTGGCATCTTGACTGTAAAGAAGGATGAAATTGAATAAGCCAGTAAATGGCAAGAGTGCGGTTTTTCGGTTCCTTTTGAGCTCTAATTTGAGATACCAGTCATTTCTGTGCATGTTTGTGTGCGTGTGTGCATGCATTTGTCTTGACGTGCGCGTGCATGTTGCTATATACACTGAAAAAAAATATATGTGGTCTTCACATATAAGGGTGTATGTCATAGTGCTTGCTGTGGGAGTGTCTTCCCTCTACATATATTTATGTGCTGCTCATCCATCTACCACGTCTCTGTCCACAGCGTGTGTCACTAACATCTGTCAAGTGCTTTCACTTGTGCCGTGTGGGTAATGTCCCCACATAGCCAGCCTATCTGCATGTACATTCAGCAGGTGAATGGTTAAAAAGCTGCCTTTTTTCTCAGTGATTGTGGATAGAAGAGAGGATGACTCAGGAGGGTACATAATAACTCTAGTCTCTAGTAGGCTTACAGCTTCATTGCAGCCAGTTCAGAGAGAGCGTGTCCTACTAGCCAGCAGCAATTAACCGCGGACAAGGGACAATAATGCTTTTTATAGTCCTTCTTGGCTGGACCATGGTGGTCACTGTAGCCACAGACAAGTGGAATAGATGTAAGAATGTAAAGGAAATCAGGTGTGTTACTGTAAGCCAGCGGTGCAACTCAGAGGCACCTGGAGGACCAACGGGGCCACGTTTCCCCCTTTTACAGTTGGATGGATGAAGAGCCCGATGGATCTGTCCACCCACTCTGTGTTACTTTGATCCTCAGAGAGGGAAAGCATGATGGAGGACAGGGTGAGAGAAAAAGGAATGAGGTGTGAGGAGCAGATGGCTGGAAGGCGGCTGTGCGTTGGCGAAACAGTAACATTGATGGAGAACACACAAGGGATGGACCTCAGTAGGGGAAACTAGCGATCGTCTGTTCAGTGCTAAAGTTACGGCTTGATGTCGAAGTCTGGATCTTCTGGCCTGTAGGCCAACGCTATGGCTCGGCTGTGCCCCTGTGACTTCACAGCCGAACTTTGTTTAATATATGCTCAGATTAAATACATAAGAACTGACAGAGTCTGTACTGTGAGCGACAATGTGGAATATAATATTATTCTGTTATTGTTATTTTAATGCCAGTGGGTGTTTCTGAAGTGGTTGAGGCAGAATGGAGTTGGAGGGATGGGATGCTTTGCCAGACATTTAAAAAAAAAACACACACAAAAAACAGCATGTCTGCTGCCTCCAACCTAAAACTGAATTAAGATGAAGGCTTTAAAATGTTAACATTTTTTTTCCTAAGAGGTTGTATGGGCTGGTTACCCTGAGGTGCCTGGCTGCAGACCTCATTGCTCGGCAGTCAATCAAAAAGTTGTGTGTAGATTATAGTTTATGTTGGATTTAGCAGCACTATGTGAGATTTGGTTGTTAAAAAATCCCACAAACATTTCTGCTTCTCACGAAGGTCCTGGTATAAATTCACACACATTTGCTCAAACTTCCCATTTAAAAGAGGGAGGGAAAAAACTTTTTCCCAATGGAAATTCTGTCCTTGAGCATACCCAGAGCAGTTTTACTGCATTGTTTTGGCAGTCAAGCTATCACTATAAATAAAGACAATCCTTCGACCAGGCTACTCGTCCTGTTCGCTTACAGTTGAGTCCCTCTAGGAAATCAGATCCTTTGATTTGATTTCAGTTGGAGTGTCAGTTTGAGTTAACTTGAGGAGCACAAACTAACAGAGAAATGAGCTGTCTATGAAAGAAATATCTGGAATTCCTCTTAAATCATACAGCTCTGTTCAAGCCCGGGGCTCTCTACTAACAGAGGCAGGGTGAATTGACATTGTTAGAAAGTCAAGTCCAGAAATGAGTCATGAGATGTGGCTGTGTGTGGCAGTGTGGAGTCCATTTAACCAGTCCTACATTAGAGAAAGTCTAGTCAAGCAGCTTGGCCAAATGTCCCAGACATGGTAATAGAATAATGAAGGCGCTTGCTGAGCCACAACTCCAACCATCACTTAATAAGATTGCATCATGACTGTCTGTGATCACTGTTCCTGTCCTCTCTGCCCTTAGCCTTTGAGCAAGTGGATCTGTTTGTAAGGAGAGATTAAGGGCTTGTCCGACTTCTTCTTGTACATAATTTGAAGTGTCATGTATGACCAGTAGTAGTGTGCAGGAGTCAGTGAAACAGTATCCTTGCAAAAGCTGCCAGAGGCAGTGAAAGCTAATGCAGCGATTTAGGTGTATTTGGAAGTTTCCATTACCAGTGTATATGCACATTTTTCTAATGTGCCGTTCCCTCTGGGCCAGTGCTTGTCAGCTCTATCTGGATTTGCCAGTAGTATGGAATGTCATGTCATATACAATTCCTCCCATCGTGACACTAACTGTATCCCTGCCATCAACCCCTCTGTGCACCAGTGCTTTTCGTATGACATTCTCAAGCCAACCGATCTTTTGCTGCAGTGTGATTTCATAATGTGATGCAGTATAGCTGTTTTCCTCATTGAGAAAATGCGTTATTTGCATCACAATAAGACTTTTCTTGTAGCGCTAGAAGTCATATAGCTCTCCCCCTCTCCAATTCTCTCTCTTTTTTACCTTGTCTCCCTTCATCCCCATTTCCCCTTCTCCTCTGCTCCCTCTTTACTCTCTTTCAGTGACTACATCATTAAGGAGAAGACAGTGCTCCTACAGAAGAAAGACAATGAGGGCTTTGGCTTTGTGCTTAGGGGAGCCAAAGGTGAGCCTCCTCATCACATATTCCACAGCTCTCTATTCTAATCCCTCTATTCCTATGTCATTATCAAATCCATGTTCTTGTTATCTAGCTCCACTCATGGCCATCCTATTTCTCTTATCCTCTGCAGCTCAGACTCCCATAGAGGAGTTCACTCCAACGCCAGCATTCCCCGCGCTGCAGTACCTGGAGTCTGTTGATGAGGGGGGCGTGGCGTGGAGAGCGGGCCTGAGGATGGGGGATTTCCTCATCGAGGTGTGTGCTGACACACAGGCTAAACCCAGAACTAAACTTAACCTGAGATCAGGAGTGTTACCTTCATTTATCCAGAACCCACATCGAGACGAAGCACATTGCTACTACTGATGCACCTTGCATTTCTTGGACCATTTTTTTTTGTTTGATGGTGTATATTTGTCATTTCCAAACTTAAAAGAAGTAAATTCAAGAACCATGAAGGAAGAACTATGTAGTGGAAGAGAAACTTAATGGCTCATTACGTAGCTAGCACAACAAGCTACTGGACACATAGTAATAAGTTTTTAAAGACCCCCTCTGGAGAAAATCTAGTTTTTTACTCTGTTAATGTGTTCATATGATTTTTTTTTTTTTTAAATATCCTAGAAGACACATTATGAACAAAATAAGCAATCAATGCCATGGCTGAACATTTTGATCTTTCGTACTGACGACAGTCTCAGAAACAGATTTAAGCAGCCAATATCTCAACTGCAGCAAACCTAAGAAACCAGTCCTGTCCACTTGCAGGATGGGACGTTCTGTATCATTATTGTTCTTCAGAGACAGTTTCTGGTTCTGACATGTCTGGCTGAATTGCTCCAAGATTAAAAGTGTGCATTAGGTAGCATAGAGTAGTTTTACGGTATTTCAGTTTGTCAGTAAGTCTGATACACAGAGATGAGCTTTTAGGGGTTTAATCAATGATTAGAGGATCACTGCTCTCTGCACTGTCCACTAACTGAATGCAACAAGTCTAGGGCATGCTTCTTTAAGACTGTCAATAGTAACTCTAGAAAAAACAGACAGGGTGAGAAGAACTGAGTTTTTACAGTTTCCGAGATGTATTGTATTTTAATTAGAGTTGGTTAGGGGCTGTTGTGCTTGTAACTACTGTTCCTCATCAACGAAGCACAAGCAGTTCAGGCAGCAACTCTCGCTCCATTTTGTACCTTTCAAAGTTCCTGTGTGCTGCCTTGAAAACTCAAAATGGTGATTGTCAAACCTCCATTAAAGCTGACACATACTGCTAATTGGTATTCAAGCTAATATGAGTCACTTATGGTCCTGCTCAAGCTTTTGTAGCTGTGATTTACTTCAGTCGCTGCCTGAATTGCCGGTGCACCTGTCCAAAACCCTGCCAAATTATGGATGTTTAAAGCTAAATAACAAATGCCGCAACACAGGAAAGCCACGGTGTTAAAGTGAATGTGCATTCAGGCCTTCCGCCTGTTTGTGTCCGTTAGGTGAACGGCCAGAATGTGGTGAAGGTTGGTCATCGGCAGGTGGTCAACATGATCCGGCAGGGCGGCAACAGTCTCATGGTGAAAGTTGTGATGGTTGCTCGGAACCCTGAGCTGGAGGACACAGCTCGAAAACGAGGTAAGAGTCAGATTTTCCTTGTATGTCGTTTCCATCCTATGTTTACGTATGTTTATGATGTGACGATAAAGCTGATTGCATGTTTACTTCATCCTAAAAGTCTCTTGCAATGTGGTTGTCATTGGTGACTGCATGTTTATACAAGAATCCTAAACATTAAGTCTGCATTTGGCTGGATTCCCTTGGCAGCCCCGCAGCAGACTAAAAGACTGACTCCTCCTGCCATTGCCCTGCGCTCCAAGTCAATGACATCAGAGCTGGAAGACATGGGTAAGATGACAGAAAGGACAAAGGACTAAAACAAAATAAAATAAAATAAAATGTAAGTCTCCCCACTGTTTTTTTTGTTCTTGGGGGTTCACATTGAAGTAGCTTCTTTTAGGTGGGTTAGCAGCTTTTCTGCAGGAGGAGGGTATAGTACCATGGTACTATTAGGGAAACACAGCATTAAATATTAACCGAGTTGATGCAGAGGGCCAAGAAAATTATCCAGTAAGGTGCAATTTCCTTTTTTCACCAGCAGTAGCTTGATGGAGAAGGAGGCCTTTGATTCATTTACACATTTGATGTTAAGAAGAAAGGTGATAATTAAACAGTGAGGTTAAGAGATACAAAAACAACTGCAAATGTTGTGAAATCATACTTTTCGAATGCTATCAGTCACAAACTCCTCTGTTTTTTTGTTTTTTTTTCTTTCCAAACCAAATGTGCTGCATGCAGTCGACAAAGGTGGGAGAATCACGGATTTGTGTGCTCTCATGATCATTTCTGTTCCTATCACCATCCCTCCCATCACATCAGCATTCACACCATCACATGTGTCTGAGTATGTATTTCACCCTTTCATCTGCTTTAAATACATGACTACCTAACAGATCTAGTCACACCTAATTTCTGTTTCCCGAATTATGTATGCAACAGCTGCCTCTCCGTGGAAAAAGAAAGCAGGTGAATATCAGCCTTTATCGTTACCCCCATCAGCCCCTGAGCTTTAATTAAAAGTCAGCCTGTTTGATGCTCTTTTTTTCTCCTCCTTTTCCAGAATACGAGTCCTCTCAGGGTCCTGATAAGAAGAGGACAGTCTATCAGATGGCGTTAAGTAAGAAATCACTCTCACCGCTCTTGTCATACTGTAAGAGGGTGTTTTAAAATCTTAAGGGGACATGAGAGTGCTCACTGAAATCCTCCTTTCATGTTTCTTTGTTGTGTTCTTTTCCAATACCTCTCTGCCTTTTTTATGCCCTGTCCCTGCTCTGTCTTTGTTTCAGATAAACTGGATGAAATCTTGGCTGCTGCCCAACACACTATTACATCAGACAACCAGGGCCAGAGAGGTCACACAGGCAAGAGGGACCGGAGCAAGAGTATTGTTCCCAATGTCTCCAATGAGGTACGACTGGGAATCAGCGGGAAATGGTCCTATTTGTTGTTGTTTTTGGTACCCTAACTGGGAGGTCCTGGTTGCTTTTTGGGCACAATTTCTGTACAGAATATGAACAAATCCTGAACAGCTATGGATCTCGCTCTCCTTGTCCTGCAGCACTGATTAACATACACAACAGAGCTTTTTCACTGCTTCAAGATGTAGCACATATTTAGTCATGGAAGTGACTAATGCTTGGAAAAATGATGCCTATCTATAAAGCAGCCAGGTCTTAAGCGTTTTTTTTTTTTTTTTTTAGCTCTGTGTATTCTCCTGCCCTCACTGCACTTAAGAGAAAAATGATTGACAATGGACCACCCACACCAAAACATTTGTTTCAGTGTGAGTCAGGTTGTGTCCATTCATCTACGCTCTGTTGCCTGATACACAGAGACTGACTGGTTTTTCGGTATTGCATTATATAGTACAGTATATCTACTCAATATCAGCTTAACAGCCAATATCAGTTTTATTTGATTAAATCTGAGTAAATGTCTCCTCTCTTGTCTTTACCGTCTCCTTCCACTAAACTTTCTTTTGCCCTCTTTTCTTTCTTTTAAAATCTGTTTTAAACCTGAAGCAACCCTATGAGCAGCAGTCGTCACTGAGTATGGTACAGCCCGGGCCAGGTTTTGGCTACAACCAGGCTCATTTCCAACCAGGCCACGGTCCTCAGCATGCAGTCATGATGCGTCAAAAATCTATCGGTAACAGCAATTGTCCTGGAAAGATTTCTCTCAGCTTGATATATCAATTTTATCTTTTATGAGTTTGTAAATGTTTGTGTTTTTTGTGTTCAGGTGTAACAGAGGAGGAAAGGCAATACCTCCACCCACCTGCTATGAAGCTGGCTCGCAGCCTGTCAGTGCCGGGACCAGAAGAAATACCCCCACCTCCTAACACATCTGCCCCAGAGCCGCCTTTATCTGCAGGCCCTCATCCTGGGAGAGGTCCTGCCATGCCTATACCCCCTGTATCACAACCCCATTACCAAATCCACTCTCAGCCAAGTCATCCTACTCAAGCTAACTGGGAGAGGGGAGGAGCTGGTGGGATGAACCAGCAGGTCATGGTTCCCACCCTCCGCAGACAATCGGAAGGACTGTGCATCAGAGAGCCAGATGTGCCCAGGAGGGGTGGTGGCAAGATGGGAGGTTTAAGGAGAGGCTACAGCAGTGCTACACCACCAACGAGTGCGAAGCCAAAGCCGCAGCAGGCACCGCAACATCACCAACATATGCCCAACCGCGAGCAGGGTGGAGGGGTTGGCAGGGGGGTGGCCAGGAGGGGAGGACGGGGTGCTTTGATGAAGCAGTCAAAAGTGGAAGACGGGCTGAGACAGCACCGAGGGAAAGGAGGTGCAGCTAAGGAGAAGAGCTCCATCCCCATCCCCACCATCATTGTCAAAGCACCCTCCACCAGCAGCAGCGGTCGAAGCAGCCAGGGCAGCAGCATGGAAGCTGAGCCCTGTCAGGATGCGGAAGACCAAACCTCTATTGACGCAGTCACAGACAGCCCCAACACCAGCCTACCCTCACCCCTCACCCCCTTGCCACCTCCGCCCCCTACATCCACTTCTTTGCCTTCATCAACTGTTGCACCTTCTGTTTCCTCGCACCAAACCCTGGATAACTTGGATTACACCTCCACATATGGTTCAGCATTTGGAGGGGGAGGGGGAGTAGGAGGAGGAGGGGCGCGCAGGGAAAGAGAACGTTTCAGAGATATGAGAAGAAAGAGCGCTTCTTTTTACCTCTCATCTGAGGAGGACATTCAAGGGGAGGCAGGCGGAGGACCAGGAGAAACAGGAGGAACACTAGCGACACGAATTCAGCCTTTACAGGGCTCACAAATGGAAATACCAACACCTCGACTACGACCTTCTAAGTCTATAGATGAAGGCATGTTTTCTGGAGACAACTATGTCAACTATTCCAGCAGCATGCCCCCAGCCTTTGGCCTGCCTGAGTATTCTTCTCCTGTCCTTGGTCAGGATGGCCAGCCCAAGTCAGCTCCTTCAGTGTATGGCACGCAGCCTACTACTACCTTCATCCACCCTCTTACAGGGAAAGTTCTGGACCCCTCGTCTCCACTTGGCCTGGCCCTGGCTGCAAGGGAGCGAGCCCTAAAGGATGACCGGAGGTCACGTCGAGAGGAGAGACACTTTGGCCGCCAGTTGTCCACAGTAGGAGCCTTCCCAACCCCTGTTCAGACTCCAACACCTTCCCTTTTTGCAACCCCAACACAATCGACCTACACTTCTCCAGTGTCCCTCCACCTAACCTCCCCCACCACCACCACCTCACCTGCATCTTTGAGTCGACCACAGTCACCAAGGATATTGCGTTTGGGAGGAGGAGGTGGTGGGGAGAGGATGGAGAGAGAAAAAGAGGGAGGACCTAGGGAGGGTCTAAGAGTACGCTTTTCTGAGGACAGAACCAACCAGTTTTCAACGCAATATTACCCACAGAGCCCCAGGGAGAGAGAAAAGGAGGTGTATGACACCAGACCTGCTCCACCAATACAGCCTCCTCCCCCGCCAGCTCAACCTGCCCCTCGCAGACCTTCGTTTCTTCAGATGGATACCGCTCCCAACACCAGCTACATCCCTCAGTACACCGTCCCTACAGCTCCAGCACATACACATGACGTTATGGGAGAAGCAAGAGCTGGGGCAGGTGGAGGTCTAGGACTGATGGTTCTACCTCCACCAGCTCCCTCAATAGACGCAGATGATGAATTTGTCTTTGCAGATCCTTTGCCCCCTCCTTTACAGTTTGCTAATGGTAAGAACGAGAGAGCGCAGGAGTTTTCTCAGCATCATCAACACCAGAGTCAACATTCGGTCTCTGCTGCTCCACCTCCTCCACCTCCTCTTCCATCTTCTAAATCCTCAAATGCTCCCCAATCCTCTTCGCAAGGGGGCGACTCTGCTGCCTCCAGCCTTACCTCCTATGACAGCGAGGTGGCCAACCTCACACAATCTGCTCTCTCGCCATCTTATCCGTCCCCACAAATATTTCCCCCTTCCTCCACTACTGCCACCACCACCTCTGCTGCTGCTGCTGCTCTGCCTGCCGCATCACTACACAGACCCCAGCCCATGTCCCATTCTCACCCCTATTACAGCAGCTCTAATGACCCCTCTGTAGGTGTTCATACAGCAGCCCAGGACAGAGGCACAGCTGCCCTCACCACCACCATGACATATGCTACCACTACCATGACGGCAACTGCTGCTGCCACAACCACCACAACCTCTCCAGCATCCTCTGACTACAGTATGATCATGGCTGGGCCCAAGGCAGGCCTCGGCACAGGGGGTAGAGCTGCTGACCACACTCATCCCACGACTATTATACCCAAAGGTGGAGACTGGCAAGATGCTGTGGTGGATTCTGGAATTGAGGAGCTGGACAGCCATAGCAGTAGTGACCATCATTTAGAAATGCTGGGACTGGGTGGATTGAGAGGAGAGAGAGGAGGGATTGGTGTAGATGGGCGAGGAGGGGAGGGAGAGAAAGGCGTTGAACATCAGGATCCATGCACAACCTACTCAGGTGGGCAAACATTTGAGGTGCACAGCGCCAAACTGGCAAACCCTGTGTTTCCAAAGATGACTCACTACAAGGAGGGGGGAGGGAGGGGCCCGTCTGTAGCACTACGTAGGCAGAACAGCACCAACCCTGCTCCTTTGCAGTTACAGAGGCAGAGCATGCCAGAAGACGGCAGTTTAGATGGAACTCTTTTAGACGATAGGAAGCACAAGCAGAGTCGATCCAGAATGGAGGATGGCTTTAGCTCCACCCTGGCTGCCTGCTTAGAGAGGCCCATTGACACTCGTTCAGTGGGCTGGGGTGAGATTGGGGAACACGAGCAAGTGGCAATCCAGAGAGGCGGTTTGCTTATGGAAGGCCGCAGACTTCACTCACCACTGTCGGGTGTGAAAGCCAGTATCATCAATGAACTGAGTTCCAAGCTTCAACAGATGAGTGGCATGAAGAGCATGGATGACTGGAGCCACACTCCAAAGTCACCCACCATGCATAGGTTTGTCTGTTTCTGTACTTGGTGCTTAATATTGAAATTTAAGGTTTGTATATCTGCTTATTTGAATTAGTTTTATGTTAAAGTTCAAATTTTGTGTCTTTCAGGTACTCGGCAGATTACACTGATGCATTTCACAGCCCCCCCACTGGCCGCTCCACCTCACCACTACCTACCTCCTCCCCACAGCATCGTCAGATCCTGACACCCAACCTCTCGGCCACTCCTTCTGTCTCTCCGTCCCCTCAAGTCCCAGTTCAGCGCAACTGGACCCGTTCCCCTTCTCCACAAATGCCTTCCTCCCCAGTTCATTCACATCCTCCCCATTCCCCAACCTACTGTCCATACCCAACATCACCCAAGCATCGGTCCAAGTTTCGAAGGCAAACTTTTGACTTTCAGTGCAGTCCCACTAAGGAGATGCGGTCCTCAGTTTCTCGTCGCCGGGCTCCGAGTCCTCTAATCTATAACACTGAACAGTCCAACCCCACCCCTCCCAGGCCCTCCTCCCTCCCTATCCTCCCCAGTACACCTGTCTACAACAGCCCCTTTGACTTTCCTGGGCCTCTCACTCCTCCTTCTCCTGGGCTCCCTCTAGGAGATCCTTACAAGTCTTCAACTCCTCCACTGTTCTCCCCATCCGGTGTGCCAAGTCCAAACCCACTTCTTGTTTCCCGCTCTCTCTCCCCAACTCATTTTCTCTCTGGAGCCTCTTCCCCCATGCATTTGCCACCCAGCCCTTCCTGTCTCAACTACCCTCATCTCAACCCTCCCCCACCAGCCAAACCATTCGCCATCAAACCCTTGCCCTACTGGACCAAGTACGATGTGGCCGACTGGCTGGTTTATCTAAATCTGGGTGAACACAGAGACCGTTTTATAGACAATGAGATTGATGGATCGCATCTGCCTTCGCTCACCAAGGACGACTTCTTGGATCTGGGAGTGACACGTGTGGGACATCGAATGAACATCGAGAGGGCGCTGAAGAAACTCACTGACAGGTGAGGGAGGATAAATAGACTCTGGAACACGTAGAGGCAACGAGGTCGAAAGGTGGAAAAGGAAGCGCTGGATGGTGAAGAAAAGTGTCTCATACTGCCGTGCAGGTTTTCTCGACCATCCCCTTCCTTTTTTAGATGCATATAATTTGATAAGTTATCCCATCTTCTCTCCCCTCCCTCCCTCCCCCCTTTCTCTTTAATAACCTGTGTTATCAACCCTATTTAGTTTGCTCTGTCTTTAATTTCCACCCATTCTTATTCTTTGATTTGCCCTCCCTCTCTCCCCAGGCGGCTTTCCTCTCCTTTGCATGTCACTACTTCTCCCCGAGACACAGACTGAGATTGAAGGGGTGATTCAAAGATGAAAGAAAGGGAGAAAAACAAATTGACAAAGATGAACAATGACAGAAGATTCTCAAGAAAAGAACAGTGGACATCAACAGGTTGTGTTGAACTAAGACTAAGGTGTGGAGGAAAATGCTGTCTTGCAAGTTTGCTATATACATGTAGAGAATACTGCTGTGAAATCTTTGGATGACTATGGGTCAAGAAATGGTATGAAGAAAGTAAGAATTTCTAAAGATGATGTTCTTTAAGTGAAACTATACTTTCAAACTTTTGATGGACAGGCATTTAATTAACACACCGTTTTGTGCTGTAAAAGAATAAACACACATACACACACACTCATATTCTCACACACACACTGACAGATGGATTCTCACACCATCTGCTGCTTAGCAGCAATGAGAAAACTTGAGTCTGAGTTCAAAGAAAAGTTGAAAAGTTGCTGCTTAAAGGGTGAAGCCCAATTAAATGTTATTGATTGTGACTGAGCCAGAAGCTCTGGTGACAAGAGAAACATAAGGGCCACATCCCAACATCAGTTTTGTAGCTTTAAGCAGATCAGAGTATCAAATGGCTGTGAGTACTGGAGCCAAAGTCAGATTATGAGAGAAAGGGTTTTGTTTGTAAATGATGATAGAAGAAAATGATAGACAACAATAGTATTATTGTTTTTATATATTTGCCATATTCCCCCAAAGGATGCCCCAATAAGCTTTGTATGTATGTACTTTGCGAGCGCTAAATATATCTTACATGTTAAACGGGATTCACTATTAGTAGAACCATTTGTTTTGTACTAAGTGCTGATCGCAATCATTCATTTCAAACTAGTCAGGGTATTTATAACTGTTGAAAACAAGTTGTGAATAATGAGGACATACAAATATTGAGAAAATATTGTTGTGAAATGAACTTTTTTTTAATTATTATTATTATTTTCCAGATTATTCTACAGAAAGGAGAAGAAATATTGGATTGAAAAGGGTTAGCACGTCATTTCAGATCCATCCTTTCTTAGACTTTATTGGTGTTTATGGCCATAGCACAGGTCAAGGGATGGATGCATCCTCTTTGATGCCATAATGTTGACCGCTCTCTCTCATACAGCAGGTGAAGTGATCAAAAAGGGCTTTTTACTGCTTCTCTGTCTGCCTGACTTCCTCAGCCTTCAGCCTCTGTGAGTCAGTGTGTCTGATTTTGTGCGTGTGTGTTCGTCAGCCTGCGTTGGTAGCTAAAATGCTTTCCCTGACGCACACCTTTCTCTTTCTAATGCCTTTTCCAAAACATATTTATAAAGGTCAGAAAATTGTTTTTTTTTCTCACCACTTGACAATCCCAATGTTTCCCTGCTCCACACATTAGCCCTGGAAAAAGAAATGCTCTGACCCACTTTTAAAAAGGTTTTTTCTGTGATAAGCTTAAACTACTGTATGTGTTACATATAGGTGAACATGAACATCCTGGATTTTATTTTTAACATGCCGGTTTAGCCATTCCCTGCAGTGACTTCAACTGTACGGCGAAAAACAGATCATTTATAGCTCTGTATGTAATGATGATGATGATGATGACAATGATATCATAAAAATATAGTATAATAAAGATTATAATATTAAGTATGTAAACATTTATAAGAATCTCCGTCTTCCAAATAGTGTGGGCAAATTCTTTGAAGCTTTGTTTTGTTTCTGTTTCACTTTGGGTTTTCTGTAAATGCTTTCTATACTGCTCGCCCTGTGGTGACCCCAGTGAAGCTGACACGTTAGTTAATGCATATTTTCTACATGTGAGTTTAAAATTATGACTGTGTATTCTCCTGCTGAGTTGCCTCAACGCTGTCTCACGATGGACGCTACTCTGACAAGTGGAAGGACTGAGCAGTAGTGTAGAAAGCATTACATACTATTATTTAAAAGAATATTTTAGGTCTAGTGAAATGCATAATGAACATGACTACATACAGTATGAGCATAAGTATGCAGAGATAAAAAGGTATATATATAAAAAATATATATATATATATATATATAAATTTTGTTTAAAATAAAATACAGTATATATATATATGATAGAGGTACAACTAAGGTGTTGAAATAAATGCTAAAATAAACTATGGCCCTGTCGTGATTCTCTTTTCTCCTCGGATCCCCTCTTCTGACAAATTCACATAATGATCCAATTTAAAGAGCTGTGTTTGAATTGAGTCATTTGGCAGCAGCTCGTCTCAGCCCTGCGGTGGTTGAGCACAACATTGTTTTCAGGTCCAGGATTGTTTTCCCATCAGGCTCGCTGAACTAATAGGACAAAAGTTTAGAGCTCACGGATAGGAAGAAGATGAGATGGCTTAATTCAAAGCAAGCAGTGGCTGCATCCATGCAGCAAAACCAAAAGACGCCTTTAAGGCACGAAGAACAATGAAAACAACTTGGAAAAAGATGAATGTGAGACCGTTTGCGAGCACGGTGGCCCGTTTAAGGTTTGTGGGAGAATATTGTAACTATAATGCTGCTGTTTTTTAAACTTTCCTTTCAGTTGTCCAGGTTGTCTGTTCTTTGTCTTCAGCTTCTGCTCAAAGTTTAAACATTGTAGAGGGTAGTTTTTTGTCTGTGGGAATAAAGGCACAAGTTGGGCCCTGGGTGCCAAAAAGAACAGCTTCAGAGCGTTTTGATGCAGCGAGTCTTTGGACTTACACAGGAAGGATGTTCACCATTTACCCAAAAGATCCGTATGCACTTTATAGTTTTAATGATGTTGGTGAAGAGCGCTGCTCTTTCAAACGTCTAATATGTTCCGACTGGGGCGAGATCTGCAGACCACCACGTCAAATCAGCATCAAGCTTTTGCAACAGTTCTTCTTTCACTTGCTTATTTAGGATGTTGTTTTTTATTAAAATTTGCCATCCATCCCTAGTTTGAATGGAGGCTGCTTTGAGTGATTTGAAGTAAATGGTTGCACCTTGGTTGCGGTGTTAGTCTTTTAATATTAAAAGAGAATTTTCAAGTGCTGTAAGTATCACAAAAGCAATTAGTTTGGCCTGAACTGTACAGGAGTGGCAGCAAAACTCCAAAGCCCCTTTCAGGCATGCACTTCTTTCTATTAATCTGACAGCATCTAAACCTGACAGCTTCATGTCTGATTGAGCACCGCAGTCTCTTTTGCTGTAAAATTTGAGACAGCAACCTCACTCGGTCAGACATTCATGTATCTCTTTAAATGTGGCACATGTGGGAACTGCGTGTTGTAACATTAACGGATAGCTGCACAGATGAGCGACGTGTGTTTGATGCTTTCTTCAATGATTAGTGATCATGTTCCTTATATAGTTATAGGAACGCAACCATGTCCACAATGCTTTGGCTACACCTGCAAATATTCTGCTGTGAGATTGTGAAACTACCAAAATGGTGGTAAATCAGAAAAAAAACAAAACTTGATATGACGGAAATATTGTCTGACTTTAGTAAACAGATCAGACGTTTACAGTAAAATAAAAAATCTCCTTACAGCGATGACGGAGCTGAGGACTTGAACTGAGGATAGCCGCTAACTAATAAATAATTTTATTGCAGCCAATAAACTGCGACTGTTACAGCTCTGTACCACTAGACCCTGACTAATCCTGTCCTCCGTGTTTATAAGCTTCCTATTAGTTTAGGTTCATGCATTCTGTGGCTCTCTCTGTTTAAATGAAGCTGTGAGGAACATTTACGTAAAAGTGACCTTTGTCTGAATGACAGAATGCTGTCACTTTAACAGATTGATGAAGCAGCCATGTCATGTATCCCATTTGGATGAAGTGATCCTTTAATGTCACCTTGTGTCTCTTAGAGGAGGTGTAAATCTCACTATCATTGTAACTGTATTGTAGCCACCAGTGTGAGAGGGGATGACAGCCTGGTACAATGGCAGACTTGACTGTTGAGGTAAAGAAGGAGCTAAGCTGGAAGCTCTCGAATTACCAGTTGATCAGAGTTCCACCCTTCACCTATGGTCATGAGCTCTGACCAAAAAAAACTATGATATAGATATAAACGGCTAAAATTAGCTTCCTCCATCATGGCTGGGGTCTGCCTTAAAGATAGCGTGAGGTGCTCGGACATCCAGAGGGAGCTCGGAGTAGAATCGCTGCTCCTTCACATTGAAAGAAACCAGCTGAAATGGTTGGACATGTTATTAGGTTGCGTTCTGGGTGTGATACTATGGGGCTAACTTGGGGGAGACCCATCACAACTCGCTGGAGGGATTATATATCCCGTCTGGCCTGGGAACGCTTCAGGAACCCTTAAGCGGAGATGGAAAACATTGCTGGGGAGAGAGATGTTTAGGATGCCTCGCTTGGCCTGCTGCCACCCGACCCCGGGCAAGCAGAAGAAAATGGATGAGTTGTGAGAAGGGAGTCATTAAATAACACAAATACAAAACACCCTGGAGATCTCATTAAAGACTTTGACTAATCATCCTCAAGGATCCTTGACATAAAGAGAATAAAGATGCAGGAGTCTAAACAACATCATACCACTAACAAAGTGAAAAAATGAATAACCAAATGATTGTCAATAAAAACACTCTGGGCCAAACTGAAAAACATGAACTTATATGTAGAGAGAGACAAAGTTTTACATGAGTCAAAACTGACCTTTGTAAGCTTGTGATTTTTGCCAAGTGCGGAAAGGAAACTCATTATAATTCCTGAGTCCACAGGCTTTAAAGGAACCAGTGGATCTGTCCACATAGGCAATGGGTCTGTATTACCTTGTTTGACACAAATGTATGCATTTTACTGTCATGTATGATTATTTGGTAAACAAAATAATCTATTTTACTTGAGTAGCTGAAAACTGGCTAACATTGAATTGTTATTTTCATTCTCAATTCTTAGGATTTTGGTGCAGGTGATTTTCCTTCGGGTCTGGTTAAAACCTCTTAGAGGGATGCAAAAAATCCTCTATGCAGGAAAGTTAGAAGCTAAAAAGAAAACCCAGACAGTGGTAGTGACCAAAACAGAGTTTAAAATAAAAAGAACAACTAAAAAACACTGCATAAGCTAGGTTACAAACACTGTACTGTTTCACAGTACAGTGTTTGTACAGCTGTTTTTTTAACAGCTTTTGACCGTAATTTTAAAAAAAAAAATCGATTTACTGTTATTTTACAGGTTTTCCCTGTTTTGTTAAAATACAGATAGTATCTAGTGAACGCATAAATTTACGGGTTAAATGTAAAAAAGTCAAACAGTAAATAATGTCCACATAAAAAAATCTATATTTTTATATTTGGTCATTTATTCTTTTAATATGTTTGACTATAAAATCACACTGTTTTACTGTATTTCAATAATGTTAAATAAAAATATTATTTTATAGATATATGCCATTGTTTGAAAAAAAAACTATTTCAAAGATTTAAATTTATTTTACAGATTTTCACTGTTTTGTTAAATTACAGATATTGTTTCGTAAAATCACTGGGAAAAAGTCTTAACTTACATGTTGATCACTTTGGTAAAAAAAAAATGCATGTAATGCCAACATTCAAAAGAAATCTGCATTTTTATAACTAATTACATACTTTGTTCTTTTTTTATTATTAGTGATGCAAATGAGTGGTTAAGAAAGACAATAACAATAATAATAATAATATAGAAAAAATAAATAAATAAAAAAGAACATACTAGAATTGATTAATAAATCAAGCAACAAGGACAACCAGACAAACACAGCAAGACATTATATGGGGATGTGATGAATTGCTTGATCTGCTGTCATGGAGGGCTGTGAGGTGTGTGTGTGTGTGTGTGTGTAGGAGTGCGTAAGGCTGTGTGTGCGTGTGTGTGTTGATGTGTACACATTTTGTTCTTCTACATTGTGTGAGCGTTTTAATGTATTTGAAGTTGCCTTTTCTCCACAGTTACAGTCCTCGACACTATTGCATTGTTTTTTCAGTGTATTCTTTCTGGCACTGCTGCTGCCAGATTTTGGCTGGATGTCTTTCTTTTTTTTTTCACAGTGTGTAACTGCTGGTTGAGTAAAAACACAATTGGGAAAACTTTGGCCATATAAATTTAAAAGGTGAAATGTCAGTGTTGTGTTCACAACTTGTTTCTGTTGCAGCCGGCAGCCCACAGAGCCTCAGCCAGAGCAGACAGCAGTAAATAGACTGTAACTTTGGATGACACTGGTGTTCTTCCTTAACTTCTGGCCTCCATCCAGAAGAGTACAGAGCAGAGCAAGTAAACATTGTGTGGGTGAGCAACATGCTGTACTCTATTTTCTAGGCCCCAGCAGAGAAGGATGGCAGGTCAGAGAGGAGCAGGGGGCTAATGTGGCAGTTCACGGGACACTCCCACCCCCCCCCCCTCTCCTGCTGTCGCACACACTCACTAATAAGCTCACATGACTGTGTGCCACACTGACACGATTCTGTGACCAGTGAACAGGCGAAATGAAGCTCCAGCATCTCATTAGCACCATATTGAGAGAGACGGAGGGCGGGAGGGAAGGGCAGGCGGGCAGGCAGAGAGAAGGAGGGGGATTCCTCCAGCTGTTTTTCTAATAACAGAGTGGAGACAAAGTGAGAGGGCTGATAGTCACAGAGAGCTGATAGGGAGGCAGCCAGTGAGTTAAAGCAGCAGAGGATGGGGTTAAAGTGAAGGAACAGGAGAAAAAAAAAAGAGGAAGAAGAGTCCATCCTGGTATGACAGCGAGCTAGAACCACAGCTGACGGGGGAGGAGAGCTAGAAAGGTAAGTTTCTTCCTCCTACTTTGTTTGCCCTGGAGCCAATTAGCGTCGGAGTGATTGCCATGCAAATGCTCTGATTTGTTTAACTTTTTTTTTTCTTTCCTTGCTGCTGGCTTGAATTGTCAGTGTCTCACGCCCACTTTTCGATCAACAACGTGTGTGTGTGTGTATAACTTTAAATGCCAAGGGAAAATTGGGTCAGGGAGAGAGGGAGAGAGGGAGAGAGGCATGTGTTAGAGGAAGAGAGGCTCACCGGGAGAGGGGGAGACAGGCATGGAGAGAAATCCTCAGCAGCCCTTGAACTACAGTAACAAGTGGTCACTTGAGTAATCACTGGTGATTCAGAGAGAAATGTAAGTGATGGTCGATCCCAGGCATGACTGCTCTGCTGCCACTTTTTTTTTTTTGCTTTTGTTTTGGCTTGAGTTTTTTTTTTTTTTAGAATTAAAACACTTTGATATGAATGTGTCTGTGTGATCACATGAAGGAGGGAGCGGCTGTCCTGTTTCACACTTGCTTGTTTTTCCTCTGAGGAATAGTCTACAAGTTACTCTACGGGGACTTTCCACCATATTTCCATTTGCAGAAAGGGTGAAAAAACACGATAAGAGCAGCTAGTGGAGAGAAAGAAGCTCCTTCATGAGCCTGACTCTCGGTCATGCTCGGTCTTGTGATGAGGTGTGGTTAGTCACGTTCATATTAGTCAGCCAGAGTAATAATAACACGTTACTCAAACAGAAATAGGCCCGATTGTGACCGTCCTTTGCATGTTTGTGCGTGCATCTACCCTTTTTTTTTTCACTTTGCCTTTTCCCTCTGGTGTATCTCCCTCATGTGCCTTGATACTTGATAACGTCGGCAATGTGGACAGTTTATCCCACCGAAACCTTAACGTTTGCGACCAGATCAGAAATCTGCCCGTGTTGCACTCTTGTGGTTGTGATCTCTGGATTGAATGGCAGGAGGAGTCAGAGCGGGGGACAGTTGGTTCTAATAGGCCTTAGTATGAGGCAGAGCAAAGGGAAAGATGACCTTTCTCTGCTGTTTATTTTGGGAAGGCAACAGGAAGAATGCTGGAGCAGCTGTTCTATTCCTGCTGGCAGATCCCACCCCTGTGAATTCCAGTCTGCCACTGGAACGACACTTCCCTCACTCACGCAGGGGGTGGGCCAGGGCCGTCTGGGTATTGTACAGTGTAAAGAACACCTCGTCGAGGATAAGTAGTGGTGGCAATAAGCCATCGCGTACAGGTTATTTTCTGTCAGACATGTCAGCCGCACAGGGGTTTGTTTACGAGGCAGTCGGCCTCCCATATCTGCAGACGTCCAACCTGTTGCATGATAATGAATGTCGTCTGCCTGCCAATAAAAAAACGTCTTTCCTTTTTTTTGCTATTCATTTCAAACCCGTCTCGCAGCTATCTGGTGCAACACAAACACATTGCTTTTGCTTTCTGAGACAGACGCATTCCCGACAATGGCGAGCCTCCCCAAAGAGCCGCCTGAGGATGCCAGGAAACAGAGCTTCTGGATGGTGAGGATTATGTTTGTGATCACATCGAAGAAAACCGCCACCTCAGTTAATCCAGTTGTGTGTTGGTGAAAGGCGGCTATTCTTTTCTCTCATTACCATCTTTCCTCCTCTCCTCCCAGCCAGGGAATTATGTGCGTACAGTGCACCGAACTGAGCAGTCCTTCCAGGCATGTAACGACATAGTGGCCTGCCTCATCGAGAGGGCGAAAGTAGAAAAACAGTACGCCCAGCAGCTCAGCCAGTGGAGCAGCAAGTGGAAGTCCATAGTGGATTCTAGTGAGTATGAGAAGCCGCGTGGTGAGGGGAGACATGTTGGCCTAAAAACAGATGTAGTCCTTTTCACCACCTCAGCTCTCATTAAGTTAAAATTATATCTCAGATTCTTAATAAATGACAGCACCTGTTTGAAATGTTCACATGCACAAATGGAGGTCGTTACTGCTCCGTTGGTTCCATGACTCACCTCTGTGCTCTGCGTTATTTCATTCCTCAGCCTCACATTTGTATTTTTTTTTTCTTCCTGCTTCCCCAGGGCCACTTTATGGCTCCCTCATGAAGGCGTGGCAGTGTTTCTTCACCTCCACCGAGCGCCTGTCCTCCCTCCATTCCTCCATCTCCCAGTCGCTCATCACAGAGGAGGGAGAACGGGTGAAGACCTGGCAGAAGGAGACCTTTCCAAAGAAAATCTTCTGCGGCTTCAGGGAGAGCCACGAAAACAACACGAGCTTTTCACGTGCGCAGAAGCCCTGGTCTAAAAAACTGGCGAAGGTGCAGCACACATATGTCACTAACACTTATGCGTGTATATTTACATCTGTAGTAGTGGTGGCAGGTTGACGGACTTTCTAACTTTCATCTGTCATGATCCATATTAGCGAATGGAATGTCCAAACTCCTACTGATGAAACCTGCAAGAAACATTTAAAAACTGAAGTACCAGTAATTTGTGGGAACAATTTTCTTTTCAGCAACTGGTTAGCTTAGCTGAACACAAACACTGAGCAGAAAGAAACAGGGAAACAGCTGGAATCAGTCCAAAGGTAACAGAATTTGACAACAAGAACTGCTATAACTCACAAGCGAACACGTTACACCATGTTTCTTAAATCCTGTGTGGGGTGGTTTTAGCAGAAGCTCTGTGCCAGATGTCTGGCAGAAGCTGCTGGCTTCATATTTTACCGCAGAGACACCAGAGTGGTATTGATCTTCTCATCTTAGCTTTCAGGAAGGAAGTGAATACATGTATATGTGTCAAACTCTTCCACTAGATTTTTCTTTATTAATTAAAAGTACAGGTAACCAAAAAAAAAAGAGAATTCAAATATTTGATAGATAA